AATGGAGGGGGAGGGATTGCGGCATGGCCATCCCCTCTGGCGAGTGATTTCTCACTTTCTGTCTCTCTGTCACTCTGTCTTTCTGGCAGGTGCACGTGCCCTATAGCAAACATCTCTCTCCAAAAACAAACAAACAAAACCCAGTTCCTGGTTATTCATAAAATAGAAGTTGTAGTTGTTACCAAATGCTATCCCACAGGGACTAGCATGGGTGTTAGATCACTGTTGGAGCCCTTGGGAGGGGCCCAGGCTGAGGGAGGTTCTATCTCGATGTGCCTCCCTGATTCCCATGGCAACCCATGAGGTGGCCCTGAAGGGTGTCCGCACAGAGGGACACGTCTCACCTCTGGTTGGCTTTCACTGGCCATGACAAGTTAGATGACCACCCCTAACTAGCGAGCGAGGGCCGAGGAAGTGCAATTCTGATTTGTGCCTGAAAGGCGGAGATTCAGAACATTCCTGAGCAGCCCTAATGACTCCCACTTCGGCAATCCCGGCCAGAGGACGAGACAGTGGCAGTTGTAGAGCTGTTTAGGACCGTGGCACCCGGCCTGTGTGTGTGAGACTGGCCCTGCCCCACACTGTGGCAGGCAGGAGACAGGACGCCTCTTCCCATATGGCTTCCATTACGACTTCATCTCATTAGGAAATCAGCAGGGGTAATTCAGAGCATTACAGATATACCAGGAATGAGACCCGCCAAGTAGCTTACAAACCCAGCAATGCTTCCTTCCAATCTTCATCAAGGAAAAATAAACTCGCGGGCTCATCTCATTTCCTTTCTCTTCCTCAAGATTTGGGACAAAAAAATATTAGAAATTCTGTGATAATAATGGAGAAAAAGCCCAATGTCTAGAATAAGGACTTCTTCTTCTTCTTCTTTTTTTTTTAATTGCCAGAGGACACATGTACTAACTAGAGAGACACAGAGACAGAGAGAGAGAAAGAGGGAGAAAGGACTCCCCAAAAGGAGTATGGTCATGCCCCAATTCCTTTCCTTCCACTTGTCCATCCTTTCAGGATTTGGGGCACACATGCATCTATGTCTGGTGTGTTTTTCAAGTCACCAGGGCTGGGATTTGAACTACATGGTCGGCTATGTGGGATTCGGCTTCCCTTAACTACCAGGCTATTAGGGCAGCCCGAGAATAAGGATTTTTGAGAAATCTTCTTTCTGTGTGTTAATGGTGCTTTTTCTAGAAAGACTACCCACTTGGATAGTTTTTATCTTTCCTTTATTTATGATAAAAATATATGTGCATGTATGAGAGAGAGGGGGGGAGAGAGAGAGAGGGAGAGGGAGGGGGAGGAGGGGGGAGAGAGAGAGAGAGAGAAGGACCACCTCCCACAGGGCCTGGTTATGCCATGATCCCCTTCCTCCAGTCCTCCAGCACAGAGAATCCTGGGCACTTGAGCACTTGAAGACCATCCACATTATTATTTTTTAAATTATTTAATTTAATTTATTTATCATTATTTATTTGCTTTAGTGCACATGTGCCCCCCAGAGAGAAACAGAGAGGGAAAATGAGAAAGCAAGCTTCCACGTCCAGGACTCAAACTGCAGTCAGCCATGTGGGAGTCCAGTGTCTCACCCACCATGCCACCTGCTGGCCCCCAACCATCCACTTTAAATTCAACGAAGAGTGGAAGCAGGTAGTAGAGGTTGTGCTAGAATTTGGATAAGTGGGTAATCTTTGGAGACTTAGCATAACCTAAAACGGCAATGTACTTTTAGCAAAGATAATTGGGTATATTTTTTCCCTGCTGTTAGGCAGAGACCGTCAAAGGGGCTTTAGAGAGAAGTGTGTGCTTCGCAAGCTGAAGAATACAACTCTGATGTATACCCACATGGAGTATTTCCTTTGAAATGGTCCCAGAATTCTTGGGTTGCATTGGTAATACTGTTTTAGAAAGAAAGGCAGGTAATGGTAAGTAGCCCTTAGGAGAAGATTGTGCGTAGGGGAAGCCTTAGTGTAAGAGGAAGAATTGTGCTTGACTTTGTGGACAATCATGGGTTCGAATATCAGTTCCACAAAATGCCTGGCTGTGTGACCTTGGAAAGTGGGTCAAGCCTTGAAGCCTGAAGTCCTCACTCTTCCCTCACTGGGAAGAGTACCTTCCTGTCGGACAGATGTGAAGAATAAATGGGGTACTGAAGTGTAGCGCACAGTAGGTGCTCTGTGAATGCTGGGCCATCCCTTACCTTCCCGAGAGAAGGCAACTCTAAGCCAGCAAGAGGAGTCCTGACCAGGGATGGACCCTGAGATCTGAAAAGATGAGACTCCTCCCCACCATCTCTGGGAAAAATAGCAAGAAGATCGCTGGAGAACTTCCAAAATTTCCAAGTAGTCATGTAACTTTCACCTCAGTTGTCCTTCTTTTTTTTTTTTTTTTTCCCTTTTAGGTTTTTGCCATAGGACGTGTGCACCTCTTAGAGAAAGACAGGGACAGAAAGAAAGGGAAAGTGAAAAATCACCCCCCCGGGGGGGGGGTGGCCATGCTGCAATCCCTCCTCCTCCATTCTCCTCCTGGGATTTTAGGCACGCACGCACACGTGTCCAGGGTGATTTCAAGCTGCCGGGTCCAGAACTTGAACCACAGTCGGTCATGTGGGACCTTGGCCACTATGTCACCTGCTGGCCCCCGGCTTTTTCTTTTTAATATCATTCTATCACTCTGGGCCCACAGTCTCTCTCTCTCCCACTGCCTCTTTCATCCTTTGTGATTGTTTAGCATGGGCGACCTGGTGGTGGGTCTATGAACCAAGCTGCTGGGCTTCCACAGCTGTCCTAGGGGAGTTCCCGGCCCCACCGGAACCCCTTCCTCACCGGAACCCCTTCCTCTGCACCGTGCACTTGCCTCCCTGCGGCCGGAGCAACCTGTTTCCCCAACTAAAACCTGTGCTTAAACACGGATCTGATCAGCTCAGAGACCAAGGTGACTTACCTAGTTTGATGTTTTAGTTTTCCCGAGGGTACTAGGACGTCAATCAAATACAAGCCGTTAGCACAAGAAATAAATCTCTAATAATAATTTCGGGCAGTAGAAAGCGATGGGGCATATTTTCTTTCGGGCAGGAGACTCTCTGCCACATATGCCTATGCACAGAACCGGTTCTGCTTTGATTATTTTAGAAGGAAATAAAATAAACAGACTCAGATAAAGCACGAGTTAGATTTAGCCACCTTCTGGTACATGGAAGGGTTTCAGTCTCATCAGTTTGGGGTTAAAAACGATTTAATTCCAAAGGGATCGTGTGCAGCAGATGCAACAATTAATTTCAGGTAAATCAGTTCAAGCTGGCTCTTTCATTCTTTATTTTATCAATTTTAATGTAATTTGCAAGGGAATATGAGCTCCGTTAGATGTGCTCGCAAACGGCGTGACTCAATCTAACCAGAGGGCCTGCGCTCCCTGACAGAGCCCGGGTGGCTCCTGGGGATGGCTGAGTATCAGCCAGGCCATGACAGTCACCATTAGCCCATGCACAGGGCTGTCCGTGTGTTCTGCAAAGACCTGTGAAAATATCTGATCCTTGAAAACTGTGCTAAGTCTCAAGTATGAAAAATAAAAAGTGTCCAGTATCTACAAATAAAAACATTTGATCAAACTGGTTACTGTTCGGTCCTTACAGCACACACACACACACACACACACACACACATATATATATATATACATACACACACACATGTGCATACATATTTAACGTGGAAAGTGAATGTATTTGGATATATTTGCTGTGTCATGGATGGCTCTTCCAACAAAACCCATCCTGCAACAAGAAAGAGCACGTGGGGCAATCTGGGGACTTGGAACAGCACTCGGTGTCGGAGTCGTGAAAATCTGAACCCAGTGGAAAAACAGGGAACTGTTCCTTAGAGTGAAACAAGCTTCTAGGCACGAAACGCAGGCCGTGGCTTAGGGAGGAGGCGTGGCATCACACTCGCCTCACTCGCCTACGTCAGGACGAGGTGCAGGATGGGGACCACAGTGTCACTGGAATCAGGCCAGAAATGGGGAAGCTTTAAATCGGGAGACTTTCGAGAAAGAAGTGAGAGTATGTAGGCAGGCGGGCATGTGCTACGGACTGAACGGAGGTTCCCCTGCCGAAGCTTGGTCCCACGTGACTGTATTAGACACAGGGCCTCCGGAAAGGTGACGAGGTTAGCAAGACCATAACAGGGAAGCTCCGATCCGATAGAATTGGTGTCCTTATAAAAGAGACACCAGAAGGCCAGCAGGTGGCATGATGATTAAGGCACTGGACGCCTACATGGCCATCTGTGGTTCAAGTCCCTGACCCAGCAGCTTAGAACTCATGCTGGGCACACGTGCGTGTGCGCCCAAAATCCTGAGAGGAGAATGGAGGAGAAGGGATTGTGGTGTGGCCATGTCCCCTGGGGGTGATCTCTCACTTTCCTTCTCTCTGTATCCCTCTATCTCTCTCCCTTTCTGGCAAGTACACACATCTTATGACAAAAAACCTGAGGGGGAAAGACACACAAGAGATTTCTCTTTCCACCAGGTTAGCAAGAGGTGGCTGTCAATGCGCCAGGAACCAAAGCTGCCTGTGCCTTGATCTTGGGCTTCCCCGCTTTCAGAACGGTGAGAAAACAACTAGCCATGGTTTAAGCCACACAGTCCTTGCTACTGTGACGGCCCCTGAGCAGACGGAGAAAGGTCTTCCTTGATAAGCAACTTTCCATCAGCTCCGGAAACTCTTAAGCATGCTTCAGGCTCAAGAGCGGGCTCTCCCAATACCTCCTCATTCTGGCGGGCTCCTGGGCTTGTGCTTTACCAAGGTGGGTGTCCGAGTAGTAGGTGGAACAGCTCCCCCGGGGAGCTGCTGTCCGCTGTCCCTCAAGGGGCACTCAGCCTTCTGCTGAGTACATGTCACGTAGAACGCGAAGGACATCTGCTCGAAGGGGCCCAATTCTGAGCTAGCTAGATCATTCGCAGGCCGGTATCGGGTCCAGCCCTGGACAACCTCGTACCTCCACGTCATAGCCGATGCCGTGGGCCTTACAAATCTGGAAGAACACGTAGTGGAAAACCAGCGACAGGTTGTTGTGTCTCAGCTGGGTGGTCATCACTGCATAGCGACTGGTTGCCGGCGTCTGGAAGAGACCACGACAGGAGAGTAGGCCCGCTACGCACTTGCTGTTTTTGACTAGGGGGAGGTGACAGAGACATGGCGAAGACAATGCAGACGGCTCCTACCTCCCACCCCCCCTTCCCTACTGTTAACACCTTACATTGCCAAGGTACGTTTGTCACAGCCAGGAATCAAAGTGCTATTGGGTTTTCGGAAAAGTCATGATGCATTTTTGCATAGAAAAATATGTCATGACCTTTCCAGTGACCCCATACAATGCTGTTACGGTGTAAGTGCACACTTTCCTTAGATTTTAGTGCTTTTTCTCTAACTCCCTTCTTCTGCCCCAGGGTCCCATCCAAGACCCCACATTAGATTTTGCTGCCATGTCTCCTCGTTCTTCTAGGTTTGTCAAACTCTCCCCACCCCCTTTTAAAGAATTATTTTAATTAATTAATTAATTATTTTTTATGACTTTTCTGGATAGGTTTTTGCTACAGGGCACGTGCGCTTGCCGGAGAGACAGAGAGACAGAAAGTGAAAAATCATCCCCCAGGGGAATGACCATGCCACAATCCCTTCTCCTCCATTCTCCTCTCAGGATCTTGGGCACGCACGTACACGTGCCTGGCGTGAGTTTAAGCCATGGGGTCCAAGACTTGAACCGCAGTCAACTACATGGGAGTTCAAGGACATAGCCATTACAACAACGGCTGGTCCCAACTTTATTTATTTTCATTTGATCAAAGAAGGATAGAGCAAGAGGGGTGGGGTCGGGGGAGTGAGGAAGCAAGCTGCCAGGTCTGGGACTTGAACCATGGTCAGCCATGTGGGAGTCCAGCACTTTGAACCAACATGCTGCTTACCATTCCCAAACTTCCCCTTTTGTATGGTCTTGGTGGTTTTGAGGAGCACTGGTCAGGTACTTTGTGAAATGTCCCTCAGTCTGTGTTTGTGTGACATTTCTTTCGTGACCAGACTCGGGAGTCCACATGGGCAATCGCCACGCTCATCACCTCATAGCAGGGGCCCATATATTACCAGGACTTTGCACTTGTGTGGTTAATGCCTACCGCCTGGCTACAGCAGGCCTCGCCAGCTTCCGTATTTCACGTGCCCCTCCGCTGTAGGTTCCTTCCCCAGTCCAGAGAGGGAAGTGGTGATTAAGGCAGCTGGGTCCTGCGTGGCTGACTGCATGGTTCAACTCCCAGACCTGGCGGCTTGAAAATCACCCTGGGTGCGTGTGTGTGCCCAAAATCCCAAGAGGAGGCTGGAGAAGGACTGCGGTGTGGCCATCCCCCTGGGGGGTGATTTCTCACTTTCCCTCTCTCTGCAGCAAGCACACAGGCCCTATAGCAACCAAAAAGCAAACAAGCAGAAGAATCCCATCTCCCCACTTCCCACACTACACTCTTTGGTAAGCAGTTGCTAAGTGTAGCTCACCTCCTTGAGCAGTCAACGTCAGAACTTCGGTACTGGGACCAGCAGTTAGCGTAATGGCTGTGTCGCTGGACTCCCACGTAATCGACCGCGGGTCGCGTCCCGGACCTGGTGACTTAAGACTCACGCCGGGCGTGTGTGCGTGCGTGCCCAAGATCCCGAGAGGAGAATGGAGGAGAAGGGATTGCGGTGTGGCCATCCCCCTGGGGGGTGATTTCTCACTTTCTATCTCTCTGTCTGTCTCTGTCTGTATGGCGAGCGCACGTGCCCTATAGCAAAAAACCCTCTCAAAAAAACAAACTTCGGTACTGACTGCAGTCCTTGTTTGGGAAACTGCTATCCTGTATCTTGCTTGCCTATCAGCAGGAGGTGCCCCAAATCACCTGGGTATATAGGCCTGGGGGGTTTAATTGTGCACTTCTTAGGCAAACGTTCAATCTCATATGTGCAAAAGCAGACACTGGTCCTGGCAGCAGAGCACCTGCCCTTGGTGAGAGATAATATTTCCCCTTGACAATCGGTTTTCTCTCTCTGGCAATTTGTGTTTGGGGCCATGGCCAACCTTAGGGCACAGAGATAAAGGTGTTTGGTCCAGCTCCTGAACTTTAGGACCCTCCGTGCTGACCAGCCAGGTGCCTGGCAGCGTGCAGTGACTTGGAGCAGGAGGAGGAGGGGGGCCTGCTGATGCAGACCTGGTCGTGGGCGAGCACGGTCACCTGGCACTCATGACAGTCAACCTCGGGCTCCAGCTGTCTCTGGCGTAACTCAGGAGCGGGCCACGAAGAGCCAACACCCTGCCCTGTCCTGCGTCCTCGCTCGCTCTCTCTCTCTCTCACACACACTCTCTGTCTCTCAGATTTGGTGACCCCCTCTGTGATACACTTCCCTCACACGTGGTGTCTTTTCCTTCATCGTCTGCATGGAGTCCCATGCCCGAGGGGCACCCCGCGGTCCCATTCACTAAGGCTGCTCTTCCTACATCTACCCCCAGGCTAGGCGCCCCCAGGCGAACGCGTCTCGAGTTGTGCCTCCATTACGTTGTCCCACGTGTAGCTGTTGAAATTGTATTTCATTTGTAGCACAAGAAAATCCGTGTGGCCCTCGTGTGCCTCACGACTGCGCTTTCTCGGCCTGCCCTCCCACGCGCTGTTTCCCTGGCTGTCTCCTCACAGGATGGCGCGTGTTCTGGGGGCAGGCATGGCTTGTTTCGGAGCCTCCAGGCTGGGCCCGATGCCAGCAGAGAACAGGACAGGTACGCGGTGCTTGCCGAATGAAAGAAAGAATCAACAAATGACCTAGATCCGGTGGACAACCTTAAGGGCCTCTTCAAAGGATGAAATTCAAGGGCCTTCCAGTCAGCAGGTGCTTTGGGACAGGAGCAGGTGAATTAGAAAGCGCAGAGGACAGTCACACCATCCCTAGAGGACGACTCCGGGCAACCCCTGCAGGCCTTGCCCCAGGGTGACAACATGGCTCTGTGGGATGAAGAGGAGTTGGATGAACTGGGGAAACAGGCGCGGTGGGGAGAAGTCCAGGTCAGCTGTCTGGTGGGACTGGAATGGCACAGCCACAGACCTGCCGGCAGCCGTGCCAGGAGGGCATGTCCCCGCGTTCACAACGAGGCCGGGAGCCCGAGCGCGCGCATGCACAGGTGAACTCAGATGCTCTAAACCCCACTGCAGTTCCTGAGCATGGAATTGCATGGAATTGCCGTTAATCCAGATCGTTCCAAGGTTGCTTTTGTCTCCTAACCTAACACTGCCGTGGTATATATTGGGTCGTCGGGAAGTCCACGACGCAGCATAGAAAACCATGTCACGACTTTCCCGACCACCTAATAAACAAACAAAACCGACATCAGGCCCCAGTCGGCAAGGGAGGCGGGCAGCCCCCAGAGCGGGACCCCGCTCAGTGCTGTGCAGCTCAGCAGAGGAGCTCCCTGCGCTCGGCCGTGCTTCCTGGACGACAGGTAAGGACAGGCCGCCCGAGGCCTCTCTCTGGATGCGGACGGCAGTTCTGCTTCCTCCCGGACCTGGGCCTGTGATTCGGGAGAAGTCTGAAAGAAGAGCCGGGTTGGTGGTGCCTGTCCCTCCTTCCTACCTTCACCATCCCAGTCTACACCCTCATCGCTGGAGGAGAGGGTGCAGGCAGAAGTCTGCAGTGGGAAGGTGACAGGACAGCGCAGGTCACCTGCTAGGCCGCTGCCCGTGTGAGACCTTGACTGTATCAGCGGACTTCTCTGAGGTCTGGTGATCAAGCTCGCCCTAGCACGGAGGCTGGACGCTGATGAGTGGCAGCTGCTAGGTTTTGTTGTCCCTTCAGACTGACGGCAGTGCCATTTCCCAGCTGTTCCCTGCGCCAGCATCTCTGTCTCCTGGGGTTCTGATCACTTTTCTCAAACCCGGGTTGGTCAACGTCATTCTCGTACTCAGAGGCCTTCACGCCTCCTCCTAGACTTCGGGAGGAAATGAGGTCCCTGGCTTGGGGGGGCGGGGTCCCCGCTTGCTCAGTGCACTGCTCCAGCCACCTCCCCTGCTCCGTTTCCCGCTTCTCTGCTCCAGCCTGGCTGGCTCACGGCCTCTCCTGACTGACCATGGGCTCCCCTCAGACTCCGTCCCTTTGCAGGGAGGTCTCCTCACCCTCAGTGCTTAGTGACCGCCCTTCACTTTAAGATAGGAGCAAGTTCTAGGTTCCCATAAAGGGTCCCCTGTCCCTGCCAGGCCACAGTCATTTTTCCTGAGAACTCCAGCAACAGGCTGAGGGTTGGTCGCCGAAATGGCATTTCAGTGAGACCTTGCAGGGCTTTGTGTGCGTGCCGCTATTTTAATGTCAAGATCTCCTTTCTTTTCAGCTCCTCAAGGACAGGGGCTTTGTCAAGTGTCCTCATATCCCTGATGCTTGGTGAAATTCCTGGTACACAGTAAGTGCTAAATAAATGTTATAATAATGCTAATAAAGATGAACATACAGGGCCAACAGGGGGCACAGTGGTTAAGGCACAGGCCTCCCCTATGGCTGACTATGGTTTGAGTCCCAGACCTGGAAGCTTGAAACTCATGCTGGGTGTGTGCGAGTGCGTGCCCAAAATCTCAGGAAGAGAACGGAGGAGAAGGGGTTGTGGTGTGACCATCCTGCCTGGGGGGTGATTTCTCATTTCTCTCTGTCTCTCTGGCTAGTGCATGTGCCCTATAGCAAAAAAATCACTCTAAAAAAATGAACATACAAAATACACTTACTTCTAAAAGGACTGAACCAACTCCACAGTGTTTCCAGGACAACTGCTGATCACCTGGAGCTTCTCTCCCCAGCTCAACAGCACAGGCGACAGGAGCGTGGAGGCCAGGAGTGGGGCAGTATGTACAGACCTTGGAACCGTGTCTGGCATGGGGTAAGCACTCAGTAAATGTTAGCTCTTGTAACTGCATATTAAACTAAATCATTTCACAAATAAGATAATTTAAAATAAGAACTGACCTATCAACCACTAAGCCTTTAAAAAAAAAAAAAGAAAAGTTATTTATTATCTCCAAGAGTAAAAGAGAGAGAGAGAAAGCAAGAGAAGCCAGAGCTTGCTGCTGTGCC